CCAAGGGTGTCTACCGAGTAGTGGTGGCTTGATCCGTTGAAGTTGCATGAGGCACTTTGGCGAAGTTACTCGAGCGCTTTTATTTATGCCCCAAAGCCTTCATAATTACTGCCCATCGTCAGCTGACCGTCTGAGGGTTCTAGAACTCTAGTTTCAGGGCCAAACGGAACTGTCATGCTGCTCCGATTTTCGATGAATGTCATAACCGTAATCTCCTTGTCGATACAACGTCACCCAAAGTCAGGCCGATATCACATCCAAAACGCATTGGACTGTCATTTACTGAAAGACAGTCATTGCCGATTCCACACGAAGGCCTGATGACAAGGAATCTCGAGCACAGGTTCAGACGTGGATGGGCTGCCGATGGATCAACTTTGTCTCGTGGATAAAAGCAGACCAGAAGTAGATGCCATGACTGAAGCAAGAAGTTTATGTGCCTGGGGTTTCAGATTCTGTCTTAAACCCCTTATCAAAGATAACCGCAGAATAAAAGGATACATACACAGATTACGCGATGTTTAGGTCATGACGGCCACGCGAACACATGCGCACTATAATTAGCAGCTCTTGTAATCACCGCCGGGGGTCGTAATTGGTGCGATGATGGCTTGACAGTCCGCTTCCGAGTCATCAATTGCCGCGATTTTGTCATCCATGTTGGATACGGGCTTGGTGGAGGAAGAAAACAACCAGCTAGTCTTTCTGGATGTCCTCGTTTGCCGCTAAGACAGCGGTGACCTAAAAACTAAAGTATTCAGGAAAGCGACGAACACTATGCAAGTCCTGAAGTTCAACAGCAACTACCCGATCAGTCACAAACGCAGCTGCGTAAGAGTGCTATACCGGCGCATTGCAGTGAAATAGAAGACACAGTTGCTGAATTACAATATCTTCGAAGGATACTGAGAGCGAATGGTTACCCGCGCAATTTTTTCAACCAGTTCATACGAAAACGAGACAAAAAACCAAATCCAACCGGTCCTTAAGTTTGGCGAGCTCTTCCGTACCTGAAGAATGTATCGGAGACACTCAGCCGCCTTCTCATTCCACTTGGAGTTTCACACAGGCCGAAAGCAACCACCATGCGCCTAGTCATGAAACCGAAAGACACACTACCACGACAAAAGGCTGGAGTTGCTTACTGGACCTAGTACAGTTGTGGACAGAGAAACTACGCCGGAGAAATCGGGAGATTACTCCGGACGCGAACGGCCGAGCACGCAGCAGCGGTGAGGAAGAAAGATGCTAACTCACAGGCTGCGGCTCACTCGACGGGACTCGGCCATATTTTCGAGTTTAACGAGGCCAAAATCCTCGAAAGAGCCGCGAGCTGCTCGAGTCATTGTTCTCAGGCCCAATTAACAAGCGCAATAATTTGCCTTTCCCATATTCCATACTGAAATTTTGTGTGAACAGGAGAAAGTCACGTGGGAAGGGCCAGACCCAGCGAACATAATTGTCGCCCATATCTAACACAGACGACGAAATCGCAGCAATTAATGACTCGGAAGCGGACTGCCAAGCCATCATGGCACCAATTACGATCCCCAGAGGTGATTACGGAAGCTACTAATTATATTGTACACACGGTCACGTGGCCGCCACGAACCAAATACTGCGTAATCTGTGCATGTATCCCCTTATTCTGCGGTTATCTCTGAGGGAGGGTTCAAGACAGAATCCGAAACTTCAGGCAAATAAACTTCGTGTTCCAGTTATTACATATTATACTTCTGAACTACTTCCTGGAACTTGCCTTTACGCTTCGATCGACAGAAGCAGATCAGCCTATTATTTTAAATGAGTGTCTGCAGGAGTTAGAATTTGCTGTTGAGAAACTGCCCATCTTCTATACAGCTCGAGTCGACTACTCTGAAATACCTGTCCAACAATCCGGGTGAGAATAAAGAACCCTTAAAATATCGACGTGTCGGGCATGGAAATATGGAGATACTGTTAATTTTAGATAGGTTAGGGTTGAATATAAAACCCTAAACGGGGAGGGAGAGCAAGAAAATACTAACGTATAAATCTAAGCACCATGGGATGCCATCGTTCCATCAAACAGCCCCACTTAACAACTGTATAGCGTACGTCAACTTACACGGCCCTATTGCAGATTAGGTCGAAGTGTCGTTGCCTAGGAAAACAATGTTCGGCTTAACAGGGCAGGCAACCTCCCTACTGTGGCACTGAAACATACGGACCCCGATCGACTGACAAAAAAAAAGCCAGGAGTCAAACTGTAGAAAAAGTGAATCTTGCTATTAAAATAGGGCAAGAGAAAT